ACATCGCAGTACAACAGCCGTTCAAACCACTCTGGTCACGCCTGTTGCTATACGAACTTGAACCATCTCGAGCATCATTTGTTCTGTGCTTCAAGTCGCTGCTGATGACGCTGCTTCCGGCATCAGTTTTTGGTTTTTGGTGTCTCTCTTCGTCTGATGCCTACCCTTTGACCTGTCCAGCAAGGGAGGCCCTGCCAGTAGCTACGCTACCGCTGGTATAGCTCTCAGGGTCCTTGGCATACTCAAACCCCCTCACCACGATAAGGTGGAAACACCAACGAGGGGGGTCGTAGATTTACGGCATGTAAAAGATCCTCATATCTCTAGGAGACCTCTGAGCAAAATTAGGCAAGTTTCCTGCCCAAGTAGTTTCCAGTGCCTCCGGTAGATGGGGAGGTATCGGGAACCACTGCCAGCTTTGCTGGCTGAATGGGGCTGATAGCGAGCACCAGTACCGGTAGGGTATGGCGACTGGTAGAATATCAACGGGGGACGTACAATAGACTATTAGTCACGGTGCATGGGGAAACCCACCCCCTCCAATAATAATAATAATAATAATAATGCATTGTGTATTGTCTTCTTTTAAGTTTTGCGGAATTGTGTCACCAGTGTCCTTGCAATATTTTGGTTTATGCCCAAACATGTTTTGTTTGATATGTTTCAGGATTGCACTGTGCTTTGTGAGTTCTGTATACTGCATAGTAATGGCATTCTTACTGCTGTTGTTACTGGGTCATCAGTGTTGGCTTATTACATTGGGAATGACAGGTCAGGAGTGGCGTTGTGTGCAGGGCCATACTTGGTGTGCTGCGCTGAGGTCAGATAGGCCTCATAATCATGGTGTTTTGAACAACTGGCGAGATTTCATATCCTGTCACAAGCCTTTGAGGGAAGGACAGGGGAGGGTCAAAGAAGGATTAATTAATTCTGTATAGTCTATGGATAATTCATGTCAATACTCATTCATGTTGATATTTGGGAGACAAGTAGCATTTTAATTTCTGCATCAAGAAGCGATAAAGGTGGGAAGTCTGCATCTTTTGCATGCTATTGTCTATTGGTTATGGCTGTTATATTTACCTCATCAGCTTAACTTATTAATTCTTTAATCACTGTGTGCGAAAGAAGAATGTGATGTGACTGTTTTGTTGTTTATGTTTCTCTAAGGGCGGCTGCACACCAACTGCGTCAAGACAAGCATCAAGACACGAGACAAAAGACACAGTCTTGCTTCATTCATGATTCATCAGCATGAAGCTGATGTCAGCATCATGACTCAGACCGGTGTATGGCTGTTTTCATAATCTCATTCATTTCAACTGTGCTCCTTTCTTTGTGACATGTCACAGACATCGTGTCTTGACTGTTACGTGTCTTGACACATGTCGGTGTGTGGCTTACCTAAGGATTTATTATTGGTCTTTGATTTGAAACACCATAATTATGTTGTACACTTAAATAAATGATGTTGTCTGAGGGATACTTAATATGAATGATGTATATAGATTTAGCTCTATTCCTATCTTAAACTAATTGATTTGTTATTATACTGATAGATGTTTAGCTCATGTTCATATGAGTTGATGTTTCATCCTAACCACTGCTACTAATATTAAAAAAATAATGTGTAAGTACAATGATACCAATCTCTTGCAGAGGAAAGGGAGAGTTATCTTCTGAAATATTGTCTGTATTGAGAGTATGTGTGTCTGTGCATAATGTCCAGCAGAGCAGTAATTATGATGTAATGTGTAACAGTGATATACTTCTGTAATGATATTTGATTATTTGTGCAGTATTTAATCCATAAATGTATAAATATATTGAGTACTTCATTTATATCTTTAAAACTGATAACTTATTATCACTTATTAAATTATATTTTGGCTTTGAATTTGAAAAAAAAAACGTTACAGCTCTGTGATTATTTGTCATAAGGTTTTTTTTTTGCCAGACATAGTTTTCTGTTTATTATTATTATTATTATTAAAGTGCAAATTGGTTTTCACCCAGTGGCAGTGGTATTACAATAAGACAAACAGACAAATAACACACATTACTACAATAAGACAATGGGCAAATAACACACAAACACGTTCAAACAAAACACAGCACACAAACATTACTAGCAGGTCTGTTTGCTCATTAACTATCAAGAAGTTAGAAGGAATTTTGTTGAATGAGATATGGAGATTGGAGTTAGGCTTCTGGTTATAGGAAATGCAAAACAATACGCTAGGTTACAAAACTTGACTATGGGGAGAGGGGGTTAAATATATGTAGATTAAACAGTACTGAGAAGATGGTGTATGATCATATCTATTTCTGATCTGTTAATAGAATTTATATAGCAGTTAAGATCTGGTTGATTCTCAGGTCATAAAATAGCAATGATTAACCTAGTTTATGAATAGTTAACCCATTCACTCCTAATTTGATTGGCATATTGAACAGCCTGGCACCTATGCTTATATATATGCTTATGTATGTGAGACAGCTAATAACTAACAGTTATAGTAGTGATATGAAAGTAGCAGATTGTATACTGGTAAAATATTCTGCCTGGGAATAATGAGGTAATTATATTGTAAAGTACCTTATTACTGCAACAGTATTTTAATATTATGTCATGAAAGTTTTTATTTGAGATTGGTAAAACGCTCAACATTCTAACTTTTTGAAAATTAAATCTTTTATATCTTATTTGTCAAGAAAATGGCCTTGTTAGATACGAGAAAGCATGTCTTTATCTAGGAAGTTCTGTAGGTGTGGATGAATCATGTATGTTCCATGTATGTACGTGTATGTTCCATGAGGCTCATAATTTTAGCTTTTGCCAAAGATACTTGCCTACAGAAGCTGTCTTCGTGACCATTCTCGTTCAGCCATAGTAATGGTAAATAGTTTGTAAAGTATGTAACAAGTGACAAGCACTGTGGCCTACTGCTGAAAAATGCCTCATATTTCATGAAATACAAGTAATACGGATTTTGCATGTCATCTGAAAATTGTTCTTCAGCTCCTTATAATAATAATACTAATACTAATAATAAACTATTACTTTACCATGTTACCAGTACTGACTCCTATGCTGTTTTTATGTATGAGTATCAAAGTGATCATGTCCCCCCATTCATTTCTACTGATTTTACTACATATTTTCATATCTAACAATTAATCATACATATTAATTTCTAATGAAAATCGTCTTAACTCACTCTGCATAATGTATTTAGTTGATTTTAATGACATACAATTTGCCCTGGTGTTATGTATGCATGTAGTACTCCTGCTCCATCTCTTTATATACAGTGTAATCCCTAACTTCTGCTTGATAGCATGTATAAAATCCGATTTCTTTATGTGCAGTTTTATACAAATATGAAATAAGCGTTATTACATAATAAAATTCAGATCATAAATATTTCATCATGAGTAATAATTATCTTTTGAAGTAGTTGAATATAAAATGTGATCCACCACTCAGAAGAACTGCATCAAAATAGATTTGCTAAAAAATCAGCAGTATACACTGAAAGGTGACCGCTTCTGTGGTCTAGTAGTCAAGAGTTCCTGGCTACAGATCCAGAGGTCTCGGTTCAATTCCAGGCGCTACCAGATTTTCTGAGAAGTGGGTCTGGAACGGGGTCCACGCAGTCTCATGAGAATAATTGAGGAGGTATTTCAAGGAAATAGTGGCTCCAGTCTAGAAAACTGAAATTAGCAGCTGTGGGGATTTGTTACACTGACCACGCAACACCCTCTATCCACTAAAGTTGGCACTAAACTTTGCCAACAAGCGGCAGTCACTTGGTTGGTATAGTTCTCTTGTGGGCTAAAACCACGGAGTTTGTCTGTTGTTTTTTTTTTACACTGAAAGGTAGAAGAGCTGTGCCGTGTAAAAGATAGAAGGACCAATTCTGAATTTAACTGAACAGTCCAAAAGACTAATCCTTGTAGATGATGAAATACCCTTCAACTACAACCATTTCAAGACAAATACTTTAACATTTTTATGTAACATTTTAATTAAATTGTTAACAAAATGTGAACATAGTGGCCATTTAGCCTGTCATTTAGGTTATGCCCTCTTTAAATAACCTCAGTAGAGTATAAAAAAACATCCGTGGTTTTAGTCTGCAAGTGAACTATTCCGACCGAGTGATAGCAGCTTGCTGGCGAAGTTAGTGCCAACTTTAGCAGTAGAGTATAAGGATTATAAATATCTGGTTTTTGTCATTTGTGTTGCATGTTGTCTTGTAACAGTTTAAGCAGTTATTGCATCTTACTGGTGTATATTTTAAGTTACCAAGGAACATCATCATCATCAGTAATCTGTCAAGACGACAGGTCCACAGTCTCTTTCAAAACAATTCCTCCACTTAATGCGATCTAGAGCTTTCTCCTTCAAATGACAGTATCCTCTTCTGTCCCCAAGGTCATCCAGCATCTTCTTACGTCTTCTTCCTCGTCTTCTTGTCACTTCTATCCGCCCATCTATCTTTCCTTCGATAGCTTCTTTTAGAAGGCAGTTTCTGCGTAAAACATGACCAATCCAATTAGCCTTCCGTTTTCTTATTTCATGTAGGATATTCCTCTGCTCACTGACTCTAATTAACACTTCTTCATTTCTCACATAATCGGTCCAACTGATCTTCTCCATTCTTCTCCAACACCACATTTCGAAACTTTCCAGATGTTTCTGATCTACTGCCCTAAGTGTCCATGTTTCAGCCCCATACAGAGCTATGCTCCAAATGTAGCATTTCACTAGTTTCTTCCTCAAATTTAAGTCCAATTTGCTGGTAAAAAGATTCTTCTTCTTGCTAAATGCAGCTTTTGCCATGGCAATCCTGGATTTAATTTCACAAGTACACCTTCCATCATCTGTTAACAAGCTACCCAAATATTTAAAACATTTCACATTCTCCACTTGTTTTTGGTCTATCTTTATTGTGACTGGGGTTGGTTGTCTCGAAATTTTCATTACTTTTGTTTTCTCCACATTCATTTCCATGCCATAGCACCTTCCAATTTCAATTAGTCTATCAATCATGCCCTGTAGCACAGTTTCTTCCTTAGCCATTAACACAAGGTCATCTGCATATTTCACAGTTTGAATAATTTGCCCTCCTACTTTGAAGTCACCGAGCCCATCCAGAGCTTCCTTGGTAAGGCATTCGCTGTACAAGTTGAACAGAATTGGTGATAAACAGCATCCTTGTCGAACTCCTCTTCCAATCTGCACACTTCCTGTCTCCCCCCTGTCCAGTCGTACTCTAACTTTCTGATCCATGTACAATTTGCTAATCAATCTTCTTTCATGCCAATCGATACCTGTTTCTTTCAGGATCTGCATTAATTTGGTCCAGTTTACCCGGTCAAATGCCTTCTGCCAGTCTATGAAGCAAACACACAGTTCTTCATCTATCTCCAAAGTTCGTTCCGCTATAATTCTCATCATCCCAATTGCATCCCTGGTTCCTTTTCCTCTTCTAAATCCAAACTGATCTTCTCCAAGTACATCCTCTATTTTCCTTTCAATTCTTCTTTTAAGTATCTTTGCTATTATCTTTGCTGTATGTGCAATAAGACTTATTGTGCGATGGTCGCTGCATTTTGTAGCTTTTGTCTTTTTCTTTAAGGCAATCATTGTAACTTCTGTAAAGTCCTTGGGCCACTCTCCACTTTCATATATGGTGTTCATTAGTTTTGTCAGTGTTTTCAAACCACCTTCTCCCAGTAACTTGAGCACATCTCCAGGTACATCATCATCTCCTGTAGCCTTTCCCTTCCTCATTTCCTTGATAGCTTTTTCCACCTCACTTTGTAAAATATACAAATAAAATAAAATAGTATTATAAAAGACGCTGAACACAGAATTATTTCAGTCATTGAAATACTTTGACCATTTCAGGACCAATCCCAGTATACTCATGACTAGCATGTCTGCTGGGCCAACCCCAAATACAGTTGTTTCCAGTTCTATTTTTATCTTTATATCAGTGCCTAATACACCCATGCTATATTTGATCTTTTTTGCCTTTAAATGTTTGCACCTTTCCAAATAATGTAAGTTGAGGTAGTAAATCTTTATCCCAGGCAGAGAGAATAACATGAAAAAACAGTAAACCTAAATTGTAAGATTCGAGGCTTTCACGGCGGTGACTATGAAGAAAGCAGTTTCCTGGGATTTGGCACCATGTATATGTGGTGTTAACCGGCAATACGTTCCTCTGAAACGTCGGTTAACACCACATATACACGGTGCCAAATCCCAGAAAACTGCTTTCTTCAAAACCTAAATTATTGGTATCAGTATCTGTGAAGAAGAATCTGAGCTTGGGGTGAGGATATATAAATGCAGAGATGAGTTGGTTAAGTGCAATGAACAGTATCATGGCTGTGAATTGGCATATTGATACCCATACACTGTGACTCAAATTGGCTGTCCAAAGTAATGTATGTACGACTATCAATCCTGGCTTTTAATTATCCAGTATGGTCAACAGAACTACAGAGAACAGGTAATTAATATTGTGAAAGTGGTTCCTCTTCCTCAAGTTTTTCATTTTGAACAGTGGATTTTTAAGTGTTTGGTTTCAAGCTATTTATATATAAAGCATGTCTGTGATACAGAATTCTGCCTTGGAGAAAATTTTGTAAGTTTAACCTTGCATTTGTGACTCTGAGTTGTGAATTGATTTTGCAGGTAAATTAGTGATTTTCTGGTATGCCTAGCACTAATGCTGAATTTGAGTTGGGTTCATGAACTATTTGTGATTCTTTATTTTTATTTCAGTATGTAAGCATTTTATGTTTAATAATGGGTACAGAAACAGTTTGTATTATTTGTGATACTCTGCTGAATTTTAATTTTCTTGTTCTTGAACATCTGTCATCTGATGCTTTTGGGTTATACTGCAAAGTTACAGACATGGCTGCCAGAACAGTATGATTGAACATTTATCTGCTTATGTGAGAGAATAGGTTGGGCATTTCTATAGATGTGGGTGCTGTGTTTTTACTATGTAACTATTGCCATTTTTGTGTGTTCTCATTGAAGCTGCAAAAATGCACCAGTTAGCTTTGTTTGTCCACATGTAAGAACTTGACAAACACTGTACAGGTTTTAATGAAATTTTATACTGGCAAGTTTTACTAATTTTGTAGTGCTGCATCCTGTCTCTGGTGCTTACGGTTAAAAGTGGAAGGGTTGCCATCACAAACAAACCTTTTTATTAATCAATTCACAACATATTTCGGCCCAGATTGGCCATGATCATATGATTCTTGAGGAATACTCAAATGGTGACAGAGCACATGTAAACTACAGCACTAGTATAAAATTTCTGTTAGTTAAATTGGGTTGGATCTGACTTAATGTATCCATGATATTAAGTAAGATCAGATTAATAACTAATTAATAAAAACGTTATTATGATGGTGACACCTCCATTTGTAACTGTGATTTTTATTATATTTTGGTGACATTGTGATAAAAGTAGCAGGCACTTTACATGAAGACCTTGTGGGGCTCTTAATGTAGTCTTGTCATTACTCCGATGACAACCCACTTCTTCGGAACAGTTTGTTGGCCCTGAAAAGGACCGTGGTTGCTGAGATGCTTGATTGGAGAGGTAGCGCGGCGCGCGCCGGTAAGGAGAAAGGCTAGTTATGGTGAATGGCTGGTGAAAGGCTAGTCGTTGAGCGCGGTCGCTGGAGCGGAGAGGCGGTAGCTACGCCAGTTGCCCAGTGTGTCAGGTATGACTACCGGCGAGTCCGTGCGGCCTAGTTGTCCAGTGAGTCAGGTGCGACCGGCAGACAGCCGTGGCAGTCATGCCTGGTGCAGCGAAGCGCCGATGCCTCCGTAGACCGAGCGATGTTCCCACACCTACATGCATATCTGCATGACTCTCAAATTTAACTTCTAAATATTTATTGCAGCAAAAAATTTTTCAGCAAAAGTCGTTTATAAAAGAAAATGAAACACATGTTATGCTTAATACACCTTTGCAACAAAGATTATGGTTCCTCAGGACACTTGAATAAAAAGGAATTTCAAGATATGGAGTCAGTAACAGAGAGGGCATGCCATTATTATTATGCTGTATGTACATACATTTCATAACTTGTTAAAAGTGTGATTGAGACTGATGCTTATTTCCTGGGACAATCCTCAGTGTTGGATGTTGTGCTTACATTATGTTACAACATTCTAGTCACTTGCAATAAATGTTGTACAGTGAAACTGCTTAAAATGCTGTACTTTTCCTGTAATAGGTAATGACTGTATTTTAAACCAGTAGAAATTATAGCAATAAATTGTATCAATTGTATCAGACTTTTTGTAAGGAAAGTGCATATGTATTACATATGCTAAAAATATAAATAAATATATAAAATTAGAATGTTGCTTATTATAACACATATATTCCCGATCCTGTAAAAGTGTTCGTGCATCTGTTGTGAAGATATGGCTGGTGACAGTGAATGAAATTGCAGAGAGCATTATGTTATGAACATGAGACTTTGTGTTACATAATGAACATACTTAAAAATTAACCAGTAGCAAATGTTAAGTTTTCTGTCCATATGCTCTGTAATCTTTGCCTCCCTTGACACAAAGTGCTTTCACATCACCTTTAACTTATACTTCCTTATTCTGTGAACTGTAAAGGGCCTGGTCAAAGATGAAGCCCCAGAATTACAGACCCAGGATGTGGTAATGCACTTTCTGGTCAGGGCTGTTGCACACTTCAGGGGATGATGGGTAAGGAGTAATGGTGGAATGATGATTAGCAGGAGAACCCTGAATAAACTAACAAAAAAAGACCTGGTAAAATGCTGCTTCACAACGTATCTCATATGAAGCAAACTGGGATTGTATCTAAGGTTCTCTGGTGAGAAGCCAGTGTCAAACCACTTGAGGTATAGTACATTTCTTACATCATTCTATGATAGTAAAATAAATGAGTTCTGCTCTGTATATCATACTTTGCTGGCAGATTACTGTTGAGAAGTTACGCACAAGAAAACTGCCATATGTCTGAAAGCAATAATATACATTACAGGTAGTAAAACTGATGAAGATAATATATCATGAATGTATGAGGGGTAGGCCTTCTCAGCCCTTGCACCACGACCTACAGTGGTCTGTTGTGCTTTAGATAATATAACATAATATCACATCAAAATATACAACCATGATGAATTAATTCCATATATCCTCTAAGCAGTCAGTGAACTTACCAGACTACAGACCATCACATCACAGTGAGAACAACGAAAAACTGGAAGCCTCATTTGAATTCATTCTATACATTAAATGTAATCACAAATTTTTATAAAATAATTAATATAAGAAATTAAATTCTTAGAGTGTGTGCCACCCTGGGTCTGGCATAAATTTGGTGGCTATACTTCCTTTGGACAATATATAATGAAACCTTCTTTTAAGGTTTCTCATAGGGGAATGCATTCAGACATTAAACTGAGGAAAATCATAAATGTAAGAAATTTAACACATTATTGAATTAGGATCACAGAAATTTAACATTATTTACAAAAATGTGTTAAAGTGAGGAATGTTAAATACGGTTCCACTGTAGTGAACACTAAAGAATACAGTTTTATTCAAATACAAAGTGTGGTAAGTGCAATTAACTCATCATATAACTGTCTTCTAACCTTGTAAGTACAGGTTTGAAATCAGGCAACATTTCTTGAACTTTTTTCCTCCAAATTTGCTTCCTTTGCTCCTTATCACGCTCCAGCTGCAGTACTGAAGGCAACTGCTGCCATCTCTTCAAGTACTGTGTTAATAATTTCCTGTAGTATGCATAGCTAAATGAGTAAATCTCTTCCTATAATATATTACTACAAACAGAACAAACAAAATTGTTACTGCTAACAAATGTTGTAGAGCATGTTGCCCGTGGACGTATATTTGCCTTTATGTGTTTCAACACTGATAAACTGACGTGGCTCAGAATCTAACTTATTTGACAGCATTTATTATATGTCAATTAATGTTCTTAGAATGATGCATATGGTTTATAAACTGAAAGAGATGATAACATTTTCATCTGCAGACATTGCTTTGTTTAAAATTTTGCTGAAATGTAGCCAGTCAGATTTGACTTGTTTAAATATACAGGCAGAAATGCTGAAGGTAATTTGCTACTTTGTTTTTTAAAAGGGTACTTAAAAAGTCAGATACATATGTATAAATTCAGGTAAATATTGTTGTAACTCCCGGAGTATAAGACAAATTTTTCTTGGCAAATGCTGCCTACTATCTGAATGCCTTGTAATCCAAAGTCATAGCAAGACTTTTCTTAAAATGTTTCCTCTAACTATGCATTTTATAGTTCAGAACATACAGTATCTTTGAATTTATCAATTAAGCAGAAGCTTTTGACATTAGGATGAGAAATAAATTGTCAGTCTTAAGTTGAAGCCTGAATTTCTCCTTCACTGTTTTGAGGATAATGATTGAAACGAATATTTTAGCATTAAAATTTGTTTTCTATTGTCTCATGACTGTCTGTCATCATATAAGAATTTTTGATCATATGATATCTGAATGAAGTTGTGGCCCACAGGCTGTATGTTGCATATGCCTCGTTAAGAGTATATATCCCATTTCTGGATGCTGGGTCTCTTCAGTGCTTTGTAATTGCATTTTACATAGAGATAACTTTACTAGAAGTTTTGAGGTTTTCATGGTAGTGACTGTTCTGATTTTAGTCTTCTGTGTTGTGACATCATGTATGTAGTTTTGTAGGTGGATACAAATGTTTTGGAGGAAAATGCTGTCTCTATTTTCAGGGCTGAAAGATCCTGGGCCAGATTCTGTCTGCATTCCCTCTCCCATTGATCTGAGAGGTAACTTCTTTGAAATCTGTCTATATAAACTCACCTTACGCATTTTTTCCCTGTAAATGGAGGCAACATGTTTCTCAGAAACTTTGGTATCCACCTGTAAGACTATGGGATCTCACAACCCAAAATACCACAATTCAATTAACTTTACCTGTTATAGTGTCCTTTTGCTTGTTCTTGTTTTTTTATTGACATCACATGTTCGGTGCAAGCAGCATGGTGCCAACCAATAAAAATATGTTCTTGCAGATTAATGTCATAGAAATCAGAAGCAACCTGGTTCTTAGTTATGTATTCTGCATAAACCTGTAATATAATGATAGAAATGTAACCCTACTTCTGATGTATTCATGTAATAGAATATTCAACTTAACTTGTAATCTGATTTTTCATTACCTGAAACAAACCTCTGAAAACCTTTTTCATTAAGATTCTGTTGTACAAAGCAGTAACTTTGTACATTCTTAAGCTAATGATTGACTGTACATGTGTTCTCCAAATCTGAAAAGAATTACGCAGTAGTTGAGTTTTATAATGTTTCTCTGCTATATCAGTCAACATCCATTTATGTGCCACTAGTTGCTTTAGTGAAGAAATTACTTTCTTCATAAGAACTTCTTTGTACTGCAGTGAAGCCTTTAGTATCAAATTGTGCATTATTTCCCTCTCCTTTTTCTTTTGAATTTCCATCTGTTTTTCAAGCCTTCTTTTCTCTTTCCGTTCCAAAATTTTCTGTCGTTTCTCACATTCTTCTTTTTGCTTCCTTTCTTCCTCCTCCTCTCTTTTTCTCTTATCCCTTTCCTCAGTCAGCTTTTGTTTCCTTTCCTTAATCAACCTCCATCTTGTTTCTCTTTCTTGAGCCTTTTTGTCCATCCTGTTGACTATTGTTGGGACTGTCTTCAGACTTATTACTATTGGTTTCTTTTCTGAAAATTCCAATCTTCTATGTACAGTGGACAGCCTGTTCTTTACTTGCTTTGCTTTTGGTTTCAGTATCACCTCACAACTTGATATCATTTTATTTATTTCTTCTTCAGCCTCTTTTGTCGACTTTTCTGTTTGCAGTGTCAAGTGTGCTAACTGAAGCTCCTTAATCAGTTTACTCTGTTCTTGCAATTTAGATTTCTGTTCTGCAATTATATTCTGTTGAACTTCAAACTTGTACTGGTACTCATTATTTGGATTACTTGGAAAAATTTTGGTCTGGAATCTGGTCTGGTTTTGTTTGTTTTGTTTATTACATCTTTTGTTTTTAGGTTGGAAATTACGATAGGAATATTTTGAATTATTTTCAGTTCCTTTCTTAACATTACTTACATCTCTCGACATTGTTGCTGCTGTTACAGCAATTAGTGACTGCTTTCGCTCCTGCAATTCTTTTAAGAATTTATCAATTCTTTCCATTTGTAGTATACCATGATCTGCAGAAAGAGCCTTTTTCTTTCCTCTCACCACTTGAAGCCAAATGTCCCAACACTTCCTCATAACCTTCCTATTTATATGTGTTTGTATATTCTTAGCGACATAAATCTTTGTCTCAGATGTACAGTCTTCTTCCATTCTCAGTTTCTTATAAAGAGTGAATCTTTTCCATTTCTTCCACGCTAAACATATTAAGTCTTTTCTGTTATATGCAACTCTATCATTACTCTGTGACATCATGGAATTTTCTGTAATTTTAGGAATAATTCCTGTCATCCTCCCATCATCTGTTATCATATCTGTATTTGTAAGTACTTCTGTTTCTCTACTGTTGGGTAAATTATTAATGATCAGAAAGTTTACAGTTGGATTATGACTAGTTTCATATTCTTTAGACTCAGTGTTCATATTTTGGAATAATTCACTCTTTGACATATCACTAGATGAACTGAGTATATTTTCTGTATCAGTTACAGGAATAATTTTACTATTGTTAAGCCTGTTTCTTCCATATACATTCAGTTGGCTGCCTCTAATCTGATCTGATAGTTTTTCCCTATTTAACTACAACTCCTTCTTAAAGGAGTTTATTTCTCTGACAGTGATAAGTTCATTTCCTGTTGGGAGTATTCTCTCTTCTTGCAGGATAACTCTGAAAAGGAAGAGATATCTGAAGAATTGCAAGAGAATGTGTAATATGCATTTCAAATTTCTAAACTGTAACATGATATCTTGACTTCAAAGTTACCTTTTGACTTTTGCAACAACGTATGTGTTTGAGTAGCAACGTTTTAACTGTTTTTCTGCTTTCACCTGGAAGAGAGAGAATATAATTTTCAAGTCATAATACTGTCACAGATTACTGACACTAATATTTTTCAGTATTTTGTAAATAACTGTTGTGTCTGAATCTTAACTAATGGTAATAGTGTCATCTGCATGAGGAGAATATTGTAAAACATTGGGTGTCTTTAACAGTGACAGGTTATTTGTTTATGCTGTTTGAACTTTCTGTGAAAAATTCCACTAGGGAAGACAGAAGACAGTAGTCTTCATAACCACAGATGTGAGAACCTAAAATTCTACAGTTCCAATTGTGATAGTTATTAAATATGCATATATATATGGTTCAATATTTTGCAATTGTTCATAGCATGAAAGGATTGAAAAGATTTTATATGGATTTTAACCTACCACATAATCCCCTAAATCCATTACAAGAACTTGATTGCATGGTGAGCTTTCTTCTCTTTTCAACAACATAGACGCTTCATCGTTTATCTCTTTTTCTAACAAATTATTTCAAATCCTTTTACATTTTTTAATGATGACTCCGAATCTTCAATAGCCCAAGTATGCTGTGCAAACAGTTCCGCTTCCAAGATTCTTCGAGGTCATAATATAACTCCTACATTTCTCATCACCAAACACAGTTTCTGCTATTAGTTTTCCATTAAGGTTTCGGAGTTTATTTTTCTTTTCTGATGGCAGAGTTACATAACCACAAATTAACGTGAAATGTTTACGTACGGTTGCTAGGGTGTTCGTCGTCTGCTTGTTGTTAAGGTGTATCGTAAAATCTCGTTTCGGTCCGTAATTTGTGAGGAAGGTTTAGGCTTCGTTGAAGGTGGGTATGGTCCGTGGATATAATTCCTTTTTGTAATTGTTGTATCATTAGTGATATTGAATTTCCTAAATATTCATATGCCAAAAGTATAATAGATACATATTATTTGTCTGGAAAGTTTACTGAAGGTTTGCTTTCTTTCGCATAATGTTTTTCGTCTCTTCACCGACATCTCAGTTCACCCCGAATTCCCTTAGTCAAGATGGTACCGTCCACGCTGTTTTCCGCACTAGCAGAAGCTTTTTGACTTGAAATTAACTAACAGGGTTTACCTTTGTCTTTAAAACTGTGCTTCACAATTGCCTTTTGGCCCTAAAAGGCACATCCAGAAGCTTTAAATGTGCTTTGAAAAGAGAAGGCCATGAAAATATGGCTGACATCTGACATGGAAGTCATATTTTCTGTTTAATTTAGTTTATCAGTTCATGACAATGTCAACGTTCTTGTGGCAGTCGTATTTTCTCTGTAATGTAGTTTTATCATTTCGTGACAATGTCAACATTATTTTAGCCTTACATTTACGTGGGCTGTTTGTACAGTATCAGCTACATTGATGAACTTGTGTGACACCATCAACACTTAATGGAAAGCACCGACCCCCAGGTCGCACCTGGGGATGTTGAAGACGATGATGGGATTACAGGATCTACCATGCCGACAAACCAAGCAGAAGCAGAGCTTGATGACTGGTCTCCTGTTACTAGCTCACAGTTGGAAAGCTCTGTGCAGAAAGTAGCAGCTTCATCATCACGTTTGCTATTCCTCGCAGTGAGTTTGAGCATTATATTGGAAAGATTAAATGGTCATGAAACACTGTGGTGTGTATTAATACTTCAGATCTTGTTCACTTTCTGTGAGATGTTCCTATCTAAACTGATCTTGGTATTTTTCTTTGTACTGTAATGCAACTGGAGGAGTATAGAAGGGCCTCATCCAACATGTATCATATATCATTTGAACATCATCCAGAGTTATATTAAACGTCCCAGTTAAATCAGTAGCACTTCTGCTTTGTATATAGGAGGTCCCAGGAGGCAGGATTGCATTACTGAGTTTTTGTGTGGTTTTATTCAGTCCACCAGGTGAATGTGAGGATAGTACTCCTAAGTGGCCCGTGACCTCTACCTTCCACTCTGAATCCAATTTATTATTCATGAATTATCATACCATTCAATCCTACAGAGTCTGAGCTGCTTACACTATTGTAATTATTGTATTATTATACATTATACAAGTATAATAATTTTAGTAGAATGTATATGATGAATTCATTTTATATCAAAGAACTGTATGATCAATATTTGTTATTTTATGTAAAAATCTCATCTTGAATTTTATTGAAGTTTTAATGATTAAATATTAGAGAATAACTTTACTATGATGTAAACAAATTTTGTTGTAAATTATAAATAGATTTTATTAGACAATTGCTTGATTTTATTAGCAAGATAATTTGACACAATTCTGTATTTAGGCTTCGGCCTCAAATGGATGTGATGGAACAAGAAAATTAAAGTTAAAGTTAAAGTTATTGTAAAATAAACCATAAATAAGTATAAACCATATGCAGTGGCATCAGTTTGTGCACACTATAGTTATGAACAAATCTGTGTATGATAGCATGTTGGGAGTATTACTAGGGAACTTAATTTTCAACCTTACTGGTGGCTAACTGGAAATCCGTAACTGTTTAAGAACAGCAGTATTATTTGGAATTATAATTAGTCCACACCATTGAATTGGCTATATGATTGTAGTGAGGGGAGACTTAAAGAGAAATGTCATTAAAAATTACACTTACATGGTGCATTATTAAAACAAACAGAAGGCTAAGAGGGGAGAAAGCAGTTACCAGGGAGTGATTCTTTTGACTTACTTTTAATGGCTTAACAATATTTTGTATAGACACTGTGATGTTTCAAATGTTGATCATGTACTGGTTTTAATCACTATTGATGGTGCTTTACACGTACAGGTTTGCTCTTTCTCTCAGCTACATATGTTTCTCTGTTCTTCTGCCAAAAAGTACATTCTCAGGATTGAAACTAGGCTTCTTCAGTTTTTCTAATTACACAGTTCTTTAGTAAGTGTTATGATGAGCAGAAAATCAAATTTACTTACAGCAGAGCTGTCGGGTGGGTTTTTAAATGTAAGGAGCAGACTAACTGAAGAAACCACTCCTGTTTCTAATTCAGCAAGGTATACTGTTACAACAGCCACTTGTTAATGCAGTTTACCATCATTTGAATCAGTGTTGGTCCTCAAAATTTTATGTAACCTTATGAGTACTAACTGTTTAATAGCCAGGAGTATGGCATGGCCTCCAAGCACTGTGTAATGAAATGTAAGGTAAGTTGTTCTTGTGCTTAATTAATTAAGCACTATGCCATGAAGGCATAAAGGGGAGCAGAGTTATAGCTCCATCATTCTTAACCTTGGCACTAAATAGACCTGAGTGGTCAACTTCACACCTCAGCTGCTTTACTCGCCCTCAGGGGCAGAGAGAGCCTCGGGTAGCAATTGGATAGGAGGCTGAGAGTTCCCCAGAGCTGGTCTGAATGCTATGGAGTGGAAAAAAATCTCTTGCCCCCATCAGGTATGGAACCCTGGCCATCTAGCGCTTAGCCCATTGTTATACTGACCGATCTATCCTGGCTCCAGCATCTAGTAATATAGCAGTGAAAATGCGAAGATATACAGTATTGAATCAGCTTTAAGGTATACAGTAACAGACGTGTAATCATTATGTTGAAAAATCTCCAGAATCAGTTATAATGACTTGGGTAAAAAGGAATTTGAAAGCATTAATCAAATTCTGGCCAATCATAATAAGTTATGCAGTTTACACATTTATTCTGAATGACAAATGAACATTAATGCTAGAATTCAAGTTCTGGAAATATCAAAACTACAGGCAGCATTCTCAATCAGGCTGAAATACAAACCTCATTACTCTGGAAGACAAGCAAAAGGGCCTGTTGAAATAACTAGTATCCATTTCCAACACAAATTCAGCCTGACATAACCTGTCGATGTCATTGCCTTAACATGGAGAGTAATTCTTCCTTACCAGATCAGTGCCTTGCCAAATCAGTCAGGCAGCTTCCTATGTCAAAATGATCTTGTCTGTTAGCAGCCTGAGCCACAGTTTCCTCTCTGGTTCCATGCACAGTACTCCTGTAGCTCCACAGTATTTCATAGGATGCTGCCATGTCCTACTCCTAAGCTTCCACATGCATCGTGGAAATGAGTAGCTGCATCTGTTTTAAACAGATTTTCAGAACTAAGTTCTAGTAACAAGATGTAGTGCTGAATTCACCCTTGATAGGACAACAGTCCACTTATGTCCAGCTCATTGAAGCTGTACATGGATGGTGAAATTTAGTTTTTCTGTCTGTTGGGAGGAATATCTGTAAATAAATTAACAATGAATATTAATAAAATACAAATATTAGCCACTAAAACCAGTATCATGATCCAGATCATAGCCTAAAAAATACAAACTTCAGTATGCTTTATATAAAATTCAGATTTTCCTTTACAATGGAGTTATATCTCATGCGGGGGTTATGTTTTACAGACGGTGCATAAGCCCAGAACCACCCGTGCTTAGAATTACACTTGAAAATCCCACCAATCGCCCGTAAAGTTGTGGATTTTTATATATCGTGTAATATGTATGTATGTAATGTTGTGGCCATGTTGGTGTGCCATGGTTGACACTGAAATACCATCACAAGTCCAGGAGAGCCAGTTCTTCCTACAGTGCTGGAACAGAACGCAGTTTCTTCAGTTGAGCATCAGATGAAATACTTGGCTTGAATTTGGGGGCCATGTAGTACAAAAGAACACTTGCATTTAAATAAGCCGTAACTGAGGGAGAGTCAGGGTTTACACTCACCCCAGGTGCATGCTCACTGAGTAGCATGGCGCACTGAATCGTCTGTGCTATTTTAATTTCTGTTTTCTTCTTCTTTTCCCCTGGCAAGTGGATATGATTGAATTTACATAAGCACATATGTATATGATTCAGCTCCACTATACTCGTATGTGTGAAAATTGTGATCTTCTGGGAGGTTATGCAATGTAGCTTGGTAGAAGAGACCAGTGTTATGATGGAACCTGTTGCCTTCATCATCAAGGTAGAAGAGTAACTCTACTCTGAAGATAGAAGCAGCAGGTTCCTTGACCTTCCTATCAGACTACATGGTTTCACATCCCAGAAGACCTTAATTTTTGCCTTTAGCACTATCAGAAACCCAGATCTCACATCGGTATGTTTGTTTGCAACTTTGGATGTCCATTTGAGACATAATCATAGATTTGATCTATTGTTACTCATAGACCAATATCCAGAAACAGGCTGGTCTAGCAGTAACATCTAGATTTGTATTTGGGAGGTGCATTTTTCAAGTCTTGGCTGAAATACTGGCTCTCCTTACTGAGGTTTTTCATAGTTTTCATCAGCTCTTCAAGGTAAATGCTGAGATAGTACCACAATTAGGTCATGGCTGTTTGCTTACAAATCTTCCAGTTCGTCGTTCATCAGCCTTTTTATGATCTGGCTGTTGTCTTCATACTGACAGCAGAAATAAATAACCAAGTAAAAAAAGACGTGTGAGGAGCTCATTTTTTTCTGTTCAGGTCCAAGCACTCCATACTTGAGAGTTTCCAAATAAAATTTTCTTGCATGTTACAAAATGTTACACAGGGCTATCGATGTTGATGGGTTCTTTGGAATGATCAAAATAATGTAAATTATACATGGAATTTGGAATTTAGTCATAGGAATTTCTATAGTTAGATCAGATCAAGGCATAGGTGGGTAGACAATATTGAAATGGATCTTAGAGAGATGGTATTGATTGGATTCATCTGGCTTAGGATAGGGACCAGTGGAGGGCTCTTGTGAACACGGTAATGAACCTTCAGGTTCCATAAAATGCTGTAAATTCTAGAGTAGCTGCAGAATTGGCGGCTCCTCCAGAAGGGCTCAGCTCCATGAGTAAGTAAGATTAGTTTAAAAGAGCAGAAAGAGAATTGGGAAAATATAAGCAATAGGTGCTACCGAGGAGAATCTTTGGACATAGGTGGGAAGAAGGAACAGGAGGCTGGAGTAAATTTGAATAATGAGGAGCTTGGGCACTTTCACTGTTATAAGCGTGATCAAATCAAGGAGGGCGTTATTAGTATGTCACACATGGAAGAGGTCAGAAATGCATACAAAATTTTAGGCAGGAAACCAGGAAGAAATAGTGGTCATAGAAGGTTAGAAAATTTTAAAATGGTTCTTGAAGAAATAGGATATTGAGTTGTAAACTGGATTCATCTGGCTGGTGGGATCTGTGGTGGACTGCTGTGAATATAGTAATGAACCTTTGAGTACCATAAAAGACTATGATTTATTAACCAGCTTTGCAACTGTTAGGTTCTCAAGGAGAAATCTTCTGAGTGAGTTAATTAAATGTTACGTTCCTTAAACAATAAATCAAAATGTAAAAATCTCACACATTTTATAATAATACCAAAATTTGTCATGAGCATCAGAATATGCACTTAACATAAAAGTGCATTTAAGTAAAATAGTCCTTTCAAGTGAACTTACACTTGGTAGTGCCATATCTGAAGTTTCATCAAAATCTGTTCAAATACTCAAAGTTATATGTAATAACTTAATTAGGCTCTTAAGTGAGATTTAAAATGAATGAAAGTGAATGAACACATATGCTTTGTGTTATGAGTGTTGTATGTAGAGTTTTATCAAAATTGAGCGTGATGCATGTAAAGATATTCATTTATGCCTTTAAGTAAAGTGGCCCTTAAGATTATTTAAAAATTAATGAAGATATTATATATTATGCTACAAGTGCCATATCCAAAGTTTTACCAAATCTGACAAAGACTCTAAGGTACACATATAAACATTCATTCATTTTCTTATGAAAAGTGGCCATTAAAGTGATCCATAAGGAACCAAAATTAAAATGATTTCGAAAAAGTTGCTGTACTAGTTTTTTTCAAAATCAGTCAAGTTGTTAAGGCCTTGTTATTGGTAGACATGATGAAAGCAAAAGGTGAAGTAAAGTTATCCTTGTACTTAAACGATTAATCACCATGCCATGAAGATATGTGGGGAAATGAAAAGCGTAATAGATGGTTCTAAAAATTTCTGTTTTCAAAATTTACTGAAAATAATTTGTAGGGAATATTATTTTATTACATAAGTACAATATTTTACTTCCTTTAATTGTGTGGAAAAATTGTGTGTGCACAGAAGTTCACAAAGAAAACGTCTAACACAATAAATTACTTTGAAGCTAAGGCAGTTCTGACAGTGCTTACTATTGAAGTCACAGTGTCAAGTGTTTTATGTGTTTTCACTCAAGTAAATTACAAAGGTGTTCTCATATTTCTAACTTGAATTCAAGATGTACCAGGTTCGAATCTTGGCCTGGATACTGACTATCCTGACTGAGGTTTTTTTGTGGTTTTCCTCAGTGCCTTCAAGTGAATTCCAGGATAATACCTTGAAATAGGCAATGACAACTTCCTTCCAGAACCTTTCCAGTTCATTATTCCTTAATCATCATAGAATCTGATGTGATACTATGAGCTACTGAGGTCATTGCTAAATAAACAAATACCAGAACATTAGAATTTCATAAAATATGAACAGCCTAGAAAAATAAATTGTTGCTGAAAGTGGGACCAGGGCCACTTTTGTTTCAATGACAGCTGTTGTTTGTTTATTACAAGAGAAATTTCTGTCTTGTTGTCTAGGTTGAATATGTAGAAGAGCCGCCAAATGAATATGGCCGTTCAGCATTCTCTAGTTTTGAGCCAGGTGCACCGTTCTCTCCTCAAGCATCGTCATCCTTATCAGAGTTTGAGCATCGTGTGAGTCCTCTGGATCCCAATCTGAGTTCTGCTGCCAGGTACTCACCAGTGTATGCCATAACAGGTACAAGTACAGGTGCCTTGGCTGTGATCACAGGCGAGGCTTCATCTGCTGGAGGAACAAGCACTTCATCTAATCCGAGCTCACCATTTCCCACTAGCCAAGTTGTGAGTCCTATTATCAATTCTTCTCCAGCTAATGCACTTCCGTCTTCTCCATCATCTGGAAACCCTTACATAGACACTACACAAGGACATGCCACAACTGTTGCCCACAGTTATGTGAATCCTAGCTCACCTCTTCAGATACTCTCTGACAATCCTACATCAACAGAAGAAGGGCTTCTGAGGCAGGTGGTGACTGGATCAACATACTTTAGAACCACTGCTGCATCTTCAACCTCAGGTAGCATCTTGGGGCCCACACCTCCACATTCTCCACTGCAGGCACCTCTGACACCTACAGAGAGCTATGTTGTGTCATCATCAACCGGCCCCCTGGCGGACACCGTTCCGGCAACATCAAGTGATTACCATGGCAATGGTGAAGTGACGGTTGCAGTGGCAGTGACAACTTCTCCTGGAAGAGTTGACTCCAGCAGTGAACTGATGATCCAACAGGAGGCTGTACAGGTACTGCTTAATCTTATAGTGAGGAACTGGCATCAATTTCTTGGCCTGGTGTTGTTCTTATTTAATGTGTAAGCTAAGACAGTTTTCTTCTCGCTTTCAGTTTAATCCATAAAACTGTTTTTGAGTGGATTTCTTCTTAGGTTCAACTGAGGAAACTTAGTTGCGAGGCCTAGAAGAATAAGCATTGAATATTGTGAACATTTTAGCCAGGAGTTATACCCACAGTACTCAATGTTGTGTGACTTTTCTGCCAGTTTTAGTAGTTTTTATATGTAAGAATAATTTTGATGCTGGGATAGCTCAGTCAGTATAGTGATGGGTTGTGGGCTGGTTGGCCAGGGTTCAATTTCCTTTAGGGGCAAGGGATTTTTACGTACTCCAGACTGGCTACCCACACTCCTGTTCAGTGGGCACTGAGGTCATTTTCCTCAAGGCTAAAGTGGCCGGGTGTGAAGCTGACCACTTCCCTCCATGTAGTGCTGAGTTCAAGAATAGTGGAGCTATACTGCCAGTCCTCAGTACATTTTCATGGTGTGGTGCTTAATCTTTAAGTTCAGAGATAATTTTATAATTTTGATTCCTAAAAAGCACTTGATAGACTGTTGGGTCTACTAGGCTGAATTGCATACATGCTGGATTGTATATTCACTAACAATATAAAAGTTTATGTCTGTTCAAATGTTTGAGGATCTGAAGACAGCACATGTGTGCTGAAACATACTACCAACCTTGTGGAAACAGATGAGAGAATGTGCATTCACCACTGACTTTTTTTTTAAATATGCTGTTATGTAATACTATTGCATTGGTTTCCCATTTAAACAGAATTTTATAGAGATGTTAAGTTATTTTAAGTGAACAGCGACATTTTCAGTGCTGTTAAATCATCTTCAGGCTTTTTTTTTCATTTACTACAATAAGACAACAGACAAATGACACACATAAACACGTTCAAACAAAACACAGCACGCAAACGAAAAGTGAAACATACTGTATAATAAACTAACAGTAATGAATGTGTAATGCCATGTTCTCATTTTCCTTCATTTCGCTTTACTACGCTTACATAATCCTCCCATAACACTTTTCACCTCACCTCACCTCACTTTACTGCATTTTTTTGCTGATTCCAGTTGGTTGGTGGAGCAGCAGATGGTGGTGAGCAGTATCATCGTATGAGTGGCAGGCTGAAAACAGAGGGTGGCAGCGTGCAGCTGCTGATCAGCAGCAGTGACGGATCCAGCATCACTTACAGTTTGGATCCAGGCCAGACAGGCTATGTTGAGCAGTTGGACACTGTGCTTGATACCTTCAAGTCTCAAGGTTATTAGTTGTCTCTTACTCGTACATTTGTCATCAGTCAGCGAAATTGTTTAAAAATCATTTTCTTTACATTTATTAGAGGTTGTTTGAAATATATATTGTCACGTGTATTGGTGACTAGTAGACGGTGTGGATCGGTGAGTCAATTTATGGGATGTTCACTACAGTTAATTATAACACTAAAGATTACTGTAATTATATCACATAAATAAAGTCTTCTATATCTACTTATACTAGTTGTTAGGTAGCAGATCTAAACAATGACTATGCTTTGACAATATTTTCACTATCCATTCCTTGTCAATGGATTTTATACAGGAATTGTAAAAGTCTCCCTTAATTACGCACTCCCAATATCACTGTACTACAACACACATAAAGTCTTCAAATTACCTCTTAAGTCATCACAGGCCAACTTCTGATTCTTCTGCCACTACAAAGTTCCCATGACTTACTCTCCAGTCCAATTCTGCTAACTGCGTTGTATTGCCAAATGTCTTCAGATAACTTCTCAGCACAGACCATGTACAGAAAACAACACATGTCAAATGTTTGCAATCTTGCCAGTCCATTGACATGCTGGCTGCTGACTACAGAAAACACATGTCACATGACAGCTACCCACTGTTTCAGTGATGTATTGCACGCACACAGAAGTGTGTTTACTAAGCTGTTGCCTAGAAATGGGTTGCATAACCCTGTTCTATTGTTTCATGTTGGACCGTGTTTATGGAGCAGTTTCCTGGCGATGTGTTGATAAATCCTTTACGATATAAACCATTCAGTGTCCTGTTTGTAGATTTGTTGTCACGGAATACAAAATCTGGAAAGAATAAGGTCTTTAAGTGCGGGAAATGTCAGAAGCTGTTAAATTTAATTTCTAATGGGTTTGAATATATTGGAAGACACTGAAGCTTTGATAAGTTTTACAGCGTACTGTTATTGTGCAGGACTGGTGATTGAGGAAGGGGAGGAAGGAGATTTGAGAGTAAGTCAGCATTCAGTTACTCAAGATGTTACTGCACTGCCCTTAGATGTTTCGTTAAATGTTACAACTGAGCAGCAGCAGAATCTCATTGAAACTGAACTGTTGGATTCCCAAGTGAATGGAGGCATTGGGACTCAAGTCCGTGAATTAGGTAAGTCATTAGAGCACTTTAATTCCCTTAACTACACACATTACTATTAACAGGGTGGTAAACCATCTAGAAAACGTAGCAGGATGGTCTTTCTAGTGACAGAATTTGTTTCAGGAACTTAGGTGATTATCATAAAAGTAAAAGTAAAGCTATCCCTGTAACAGGCCGTGAAGGCCCATAGGGTTGTGAGATGTTGAGGGTCCAACATTATCTAGACAGTCGGCTCAAAGATGGCAGTAAAGTTGTCAGCCTTACGTGCCAGCTATGCTTTACTCCCCAGGAAAATTATTTAATTAATTCCTGGTACTCATTTCTGTTAGAGGCTGAGTCGACCCCAGGGCCGTAGTGCGGCTTTAAGGATTAGGTCAATTGAAAAAATCCAGTGACCTCATCAGAACTTGAACCCGCGACTTTCCGGCTTGTAGCATGGCGCCTCAACCACTACGCTAATGTGATTATCATAAGATATCTTATTAGTTATTAAATATGACAGTGCTTCTGACATGGTTCCTTGCAGAATTACAGCACATTTTATGAATCAGCCATAATGTAATGCCATATTTATTTGAATCCCATATTCCTCTAAATAAGATTCATGCCAATTTAGAAGAAGGAAAGGAAAGAGAGAGAAAAATGATTAACATTCTGTTTTCATATATTATTCTGGTTTGTACAAGTCAACAAGACAGCAATATTAGTTTCCATGATAGGCCATTTTAATATATGCTAATGTAAATAATATGTCCAAGTTTTTAATCACAGAAGTCTGGAAAGAATATATGTGAAATATGTTATTTAAATGTGGTATTTTGGTCTGTCTACCATTATACTTTTATTGTATATACAGTAAACTGTCACTAATCTGAATTAATTGGGTGGGAGAGGTCATCCAGATTAATGAAACAAAAGATAACCCTAGAAGACAAAAACAACTTAGAAAATAAATACATGAAAAATTTAATATTATAGATAGTGCTGATGAAAATAAATTTAAAAAAATCAGTGCAGCAATTTCTTCCTCTGTCAGAAGCTGATATCCAGGTCTCCTTGATCCAGCTCAAGCCAGTCTTGGATATTTTCTTGTGTCGTTTCAGTCTCTCCAGCTGCCCTCAACACCATCTGAAAGTTCTCTTGCTCCTAAACCCCATATGTCTTTTAAAGTATGTACTCGACTGTGAACAGAATTTTTCATTTTTCATATTATGATTCTGATTATCTGACATCCAGATTAATTGTAGCTGGGTTAGCAAAGGGCTTGCTGTATATTTCTTTATAAAAATCTTTTTTCCTAGAACATCCCTTGTTGGGTGAAGATGTGGACATGAACCTTGGGGTCTCAGCATCTGGACTGAAGACTGCTGGCCCAGAAAACTATGCCAATATATTGCTGAACGGACATGATGAGACAATAGCAAAGAACAGTAGCAATACATTGCCTAGAAGATCAAAACGTCACCAGATTCAAGTGCACAATTCACAACAGCAAACAAATGCAGATTGCAAGGATGATACAAAGAGTTTCTGTAAGTAACACCAATGAAAATTTTTCTTGTATTCTAAATTATGTTTTGGAAGAAAATAAAAATTAGGATGCTGCATGAAACAGTAAGTAATATGTGGTTTATATTAAATTGAAGCATACAATAGTGATGATTATTATTTAGTTCAGATTTCTTATTTTGTTATGAAAGCTTTTTTGTATCATCATATCACTGTATATCTGTGCCAGCCTCCTCCTAATCACTTTTGAATCAATCATCAGATTTTATTCATGTTGCAAGAAAGTATCCCATTTTTGTTCTTGTTAATCTCCTATGTCAAACAACATGGTGACTACAACTGCTAAGTAGGGCGTGACACTAGTGCCATTATAGAGTATGGAAATAGGATCTTGAAATGTTTTGTGATAATAGATCTTCGAAACAATGCAACTTTTGTTGAAGGATGTTTTTGCGGAATGTAAAGGAAAGACACTGTGGCCATAGTTGATTTTCAGTGTGATAACTCTGGAATCATTTGAGCCAAGCAATGCAATTTTGTATGTAGATAGATCAAGAAAGTACCTTTGAATCCTTTATAAAACATTTACATTATATGTAAGCAATTACAAACACGACAATGGTGTGAAAAAATCTGTGTTTTGTTGGGCACATTTATCAGTGCGAGTGAAGGGCCTAAAGTTATGTATGTATAATACATTTGTCATAATAATAATATAACATAATAATATTTGTCAGAGTTAAAAGTTACAAAATATTGTGACATGTTGCGCAATGGAGAACCCCTCCCTACCCAGCAGCAACGTGGCAACTCAGGCCACAGTGATGCGGCAGATGAGTCAGCGCTCCCCTCCCCCCTCCGCACGGTAACGTAATGTGCAACGCACGGTGACGTAAGATGGCGCAAGGTAACAGCGTTGCTAGGCTATACGCAAACACAGTGACGCGGCACGCAACAGGCACCACTGCGGCTATATAAGGGAACTGCACAGCAGCTACGAGTCAGTTGTAACGTAACAGTTGCTGAGTCGAGTTGACATATAGCAGCCGAATTCAGTAGTAGTCGAGCGAGTGTGTTATCAACAGTTCTCCAGTCAGCCGACTACAGTTGGAGTATAGCAGCCGTCGCGGAAAGAAGAACCGGACGTGTGTGTAATTGTGTAATTGGGAGTGTGTGATACCGCGATACATAGCTCCCCTACTGTAAACGTGTAGACTACTGAAGAGAGAGTGAACTGATTTGCGCATAGGGTTATAAAGTGTGAAACCCCGCAACAGTGGTAACAGATTATTGCGATTAGGGTTATAAAGTGTGAAACCCCGCAACTGTGTTATAATTAATTGTAGCCGTTATTTGTAGATTGTTAAATAAACCAATTAACGATCTCTACGGCGTATTCAGTAACGAAACACGTTACAATATAAAACTTATTTTTTGTGGGCTATTCTATGTCAATGTCGGTATTTAGACTATAGCTTTGAATGGTAAGATGGGTGATGAATATGAATTGGAAAGGATTTGCGTGGAGGGATTGAGGAAAACCATGTCAGGATAGCTGGTGTCCTAGCTGAGATTTGAAACAAGCACCTCTCAAATACAAGTCTAAAACATTACTGCTATGCCAACCTGTTTAGTAGAAATCTGTTAAAAGGGTATTTAATCTACCTATGGAAAGAATTATCCAACTCTAAGGGTTTATAACAATCCACAGCATGTGGCCAGTGAGCCCTCTCTCTGCTGTCATTTTCATTATAATTTTCTCACATTCACTGGATTTCATGTATATTTTAAGGTTTTTTTTTTTTAGTGCTAGTGGGGTAAATTAAGTCCTTTGTACTGCATCCACTTCTGGCCTATTATACCAGCCCCACATGATAGGTGAGGGTGATTGTGGAGCAATTGGTGGAATGAAGATTGGCAGGGGAAACCGAAGTACTCGGAGAAATCCTGCCCCAGCACCACTTTGTCCACCACAAAGCCCACTTGACCAGACTCGGGATTGAACCCAGATTGCCACGGTGGGAAGCCAGCAACTAACCGCATGAGCTGTGGCATGGCCCATATCTTAAGGTTACTGTGAATCCTAAATGTAACATTAGAATAGTTTCTGTATATGTAGTTGGAGTGCTGAAGAATTCTCTCTCTTTCACATAACATCCATTTGTTTAGGTCTTAAACAGGCAGAATTAAATTCTTTATTGAAGTTCTATAAGGGGGGGGACTTCATGGATTTATGGCTGAATTAGTGGTACAGTTGCAGTCTTTCCTTTTCCATCTGACAAAAACAGTTGCTTTGTGTGATCCAGAGCAGGTGAAAATTAAATTGTTTTCTTGAACCTCTGTCAAAATGGAGAAAATTTTTCCATGAATTTGTGAAAAAATAGTTATATTTCAGAATCCCTCAGCCTCTCAAGTAAAGTGTATCACCATGTGCACTATTACAAATACCAAGTCCATTTAAGTGAAACATAATATTTTCTGTCTTTATTGTCAACTAGAGTAAGAATTCCTTTGTTATCTGGCACAGTTTTTTACTTTCCTCCAAGTCTTTTGATTGCTCCACTGTTTGTGTTTGATGCTGTGATCTTTTAATATGATTTTGATGTTGTTATTGTTGTACGTTTCATGGTATTTATTAAAGAAACTTAGATGAGGAGCTCATGTGAATATGTTCAGTGCCTCGATTAAAGTCCAGATTTAATAGACAGGGTGTCCCAGGAGAAAAGGTCACTATTCTGGGAGAACATAATATCAGTCATTCTAAGCAAAAATGTATATATGTACATGTGTCCTATTCCAAACGGTTTTCGAGATAGAGCTGTTTCACTGTACAGTTCCAAAACTGTTGATAAGAAAGATATATAACATACTGTTTCTAATACTGGTATTCATTGTTCAAGTGACAAAGGTGGTACAGCTCACCTAGTATAATACATTTCTGAAAATTCCACCATCATCATCAATGCGCTCTGCAACTTGTGTGCGGATGTAGCATGTTACTTGTCTGTACAGTGAAGTAGCTCTATCTCGGAAACCATTCGGAATAGGACACGTACATATACACTTTTCTGCTTAGAATGGCTGATACTATGACCTCCCAGAATATTGACCTTTCCTCCTGGGACACTCTGTATAAGTATATAATTTTTGAGCAAAACCTTTGATTAGTAGTTACTATAGGATTTGATATCTGAGGTTCTCATGGCAAGTATAAAAGTTGTGGTCTTCTGGGTTGTAGTGCCTTACTGTCTGATAAACTGGTACTGATGTTCTGGAGGGACCTGCCGCCTCCACGTTTTGGGTGGAAGATTCTTATCCCCGAAGACCACAGCCTTTAGATAAAAACCTGTTTATTATGTGTATGGAGCTCAAAGGAAATAAAAATGATGTTAGTGCAGTTTTGTGAGCCAGCTGCAGGCAGTTTAAGGCTTTCCTTGATTAAATTGAGAATAAATATGGTAATGTACATTAATCTGAAATTTACTTAGTAGACTTAAGAGAATGAGACTTATGATAGGTGCCTAATTAATTCTGCAATGTGAGTGGATTCATTCTTATGTATACCAGTTATGTACCACTGCGATTCAAAATTCAAATGGCCTCTACTAGGTTGGGTCCATATGGCCTTGCATGAATGAAACAGTAATTGAAGCTTCCTCAGTGCACAGAAATTAAACAAAATACGGTATTTTGCCCAAGGATGTGAGTAGATCTGTGATTATGGCTTGAAATGTCAGTTTGATGCATGAGTTGTAGGCTTTATTTTTTTGCTTATGCTTTAATATGTACACTTTTCTTATTCCAGTGTTTCCCAGTGTTTGACGTGTAGTGTTGTAAAATTATAGGATGGCAATCAATGACTTTTTTTTTATTTTGTTCTATTTATATTTCTGATAGTTGTAGAACTTGTGCTAAAATGTGTTTCTTTTCTCTGTTTCTTAAAGCTGAGGACATTTGGATCACTGGTGATATAATAAAACGTAAGGACAAAATTAAGAGTGTGTGCTTAATTCATTGTGTTCACACTGAGTGAATATTGGCCTAACTTTATCACTGTAACAGGATATTTTTCAAGCGTACATTACAAGTGCAGCTAATAACCGGAGCTCTTGATTTAACACAGTGCCATGTTGGCTTATTTACATGTTTTATTTCTTTATTTTGTTTTATTATATCTTATTATATGATCTTTTATTTGATTAGTTTTCAGTCATGTTTTAACAGTTTGAAGACTGTCTGGGCTTGAAGTCTGTTTTGTTTGTGTAGTTGTGAGATCATGTGACCGTGTGTAAACATAAAGTAGAAAATCTGACAGAAACTCCTTGTAGTCATTGTTGTAATACTATGATACTATGCCAGCTTCAACCTTTCAAGTCTGTATGTTGAGACATTTATTTTTTGTGGGATGTTCAGCAAGTAATGTACTACAACTTCTCAAACATAATTCATACTAACAACTAACAGCAGTTTTATATAAAATATGAACAGACATAATGGCTACATCGTTTAGTTTCTTAGTTGGTTACTTAACGATGCCATCAGTATCCATTTTTATACATACTTTCCCTACCCTGCCAATGCCAGTACTTTCCTTCCTTGTGAAGACATTTCTTCACTGCATGATCACCCTGTCATAGTCCTCAACCCTTGTATTGTGCATCATGTTTTTCAAGGCTCCAAACAGAAGTTTGAAAGAGCAAGATCAGGGCTGTACACCAGATGAGCTAGCAGATCCCTCTCAATTTCTATAAATACTCTCTTGGCCTTAAAATATATGTGAAAATGTGCACTGTTATGGTGAAGCAGAACTTCTGCTTAATTTCTGTTAGATTAAACTCACCAAAAGGTTTTTTTCATTGTATTATTCTAAACATCTGAATTTATTATCTGTCCTCTTATTAGTACTGAGGTCATGACCCTACTGAGGGAATAACCATATATTTCTTCTAAGTTGACACCACTTGATTGGCTGTCTTTTGTATCTGACTCAAGGTGATGAATCCAGGTCTCATCACCTGTGAAAATTTGGGACATTGAAGGCTTTCCTGTTGTCTTATAAAATGTGATTGTTTCACTTTCCTTGAATTCAGTTTTGTGTTCTTGCATTAATTGTACAGGATCCCGTATCTCACACAAAAATGTGAGGTACTGATAAGTACAAATAAGTTCACACCGTCGTTTGGCATAGCGAGTTTATTCCTTCACTCGTCTTACACACTTTACAATCATTCCCGTCTGCAGTGTCACAATCACTGCTTACAATAACTCGGCGACGCTGGACTATCTCTTCTGGCGGTTATCCCAAGACTGACTTCCAAGATGGCTCGATCACGACTGGCTTCTTAGCTGGCTCTTCCGAGACTTTCTTCTCTGAAGGCTTGATCACGACTGGCTTCTTAGCTTGCTCGATGAAGACTGAAGACTTCTCGTCGAAACTGGGCTTTTATAACCTTGGCCGCTGTTAGGCAACGAACCCTTTGTTATAACCATGGAGACTCCTGTTAGAACTACAATGGAGCAATTGTTGTCTCCTCTGTAACGGTCTATTCTAGCGTTTCCATAGCAGTGACTCTTCTGGAATGCAAACACGTTACAATATTAATAGTCCCCTTACTGATGCACGTTCCAGGTCACTGATAGTGATGTGTTGATCGTTACAGATGATTTCTCCGACATTTGTGTCAGGGTGACCAGTGTGTATTGAATCTCTGGGCTCAGCATGTCCTTTCTCAACATTCTCACTTTCTTTGCCCAGCGACTAACAATGCCTTTGTCCTCAATATTGTTTCATTAGACAATTTTTAGCCGTTTGAGGGTGTTCCCTGATGATTTTTTTCCATGCCACGATGAATTAAATTGTGGCTTCCTAACTCTCATGTACATCTCTGGCTGATGTCATTATTATGACTGCTCATCATGCACTGCTTGTTGGAATGTTTGCAAACTCTGCAACTAGATACGGCAAAGCTGAAGTTCACAGTATCAAAATATTCTTTTGTTTTTGTAACATATGTATTAGTAAAAGAATTGAGGCACATTACTTTCTCGGTAACCCACATATGTTACTTTCCTTCCCATGTAGTAAGAAAGCATAATTAGTGCTCTAGGTTCTAAATTTGACATGATAAAGTTTGTAATAAAAATGCGCATGGTAGTTTTCATGAGTTCTAATGACATACCATTCAATGGTTGGAGTAGTAATTTTGTATTGTGGATTAGTAACATTATTTAACATTTCCTAAGTATATTGGGTCCTTGAAAATATGACAGAGTTCATATATTTAACAGTTTCAGTAATAAATCAATATTTCACTCTCAAAGAAATTAAGAGTAGATTAAATTTGAGGAATGCTGTTACTACTCAGTTATAACAAATTAGCCTTCTCATCTCTTAACTAAAGACATTTATATGTGCAAAGCTATAATTTTACCTGTTATTTTGTATGTGTCAAAAATGTAGTCTCATCCTAAGGGACTGAGGGTGTGAGAGATTGGGGTGCTTAGTAGATTATATTTAATAGAGAGAAAGTAACACAAGGCTGGAGAAAACAGTATAGCAATGGGCTTCATAATTTATACTTTGTGCCTAATATTATTAGAGTTTTCAAATTATGGAGGATGAGATTGGAATGGGATGTAGCATGCATGATAACTGATAAATGCATACAAAATTTTAGTCTGAAAACCTGAAGACTACTTGAGGTGCCTAGACATAAGTGTGAGGATAATATTAAATGAGTCTTACAGATTTTTATTGTTTGCATCCTGGTTTGTATCATTGAGGGTACTAACATGGCTACCAACATAACAGTGTATGAGTAAATAAAACTAATATTAATGTGTTAATGTTTTTTTTTACACATACTACTACATGTAATGGTAATTACATTGTTTTTGTTGATGTTAGCTATGTCCTTGGAGATATGCTGTTAACAGCTCAGCTCTAAATAGTTTTACATATTGCAGGTGAAATTCTTGATGACTGGATATGTATGAAGTGTGTAATATACTAGTTCAAAGACCTTTTTCTTAAAGAAATAGGGACAAAGGGTGCCAATTTGATTGGTCTGACTTGGGATAGAGTTCAGTGGAATTCTTGTGAACGTTTATAAAACTTTCATTTCTATGAATGGTAGAAAATTTCCATTTAGCAGAGTGACTGTTGGCTTGTCCTCAAGGACTACCCTTATTTTCTTATACTTGTTTATATTTTTCAAAATATTTTGTCAACATGAGTAGATATATTCACTGACTTTGGTTTATTTTACTTGTATCAACTGGGAAGGGGATGAAAAATACAAATGGCCTCTCTTGTAATGTTAGGGTGTTGTTCAGTTTGGTGTTACATAATGTTTTCTGGCTGTTAAAGGGTGTGAAGAATGCTGCAGTTCTTATGAGCATGGCTGCCCTCAGCATCGAGTACAGTCCATCTGTGACAAACCTGTCCCTTCAAGAGCATGGGCCACTTTACCAGCCTCCTACTTGGCAATTAACCGAGTTGGAACTTCATCTGATGGATCACCAGGCGAGTGAATGCAGTAAAATACTGATACAACATACATAACAAACATTTTTCATGAAGTATCATCACAGGAAGTACCTGTTTTTCACCCAGGATATAATTGCATTCCTTGTCAGTGTCACTGTATATAGTAGCTAAAAATTTAAAGGAGTAACACAAAAATTATGAAATTAAAATTTACCTCTGTATGAGTAATTAAGAGGAGGTGGTGAATGCTGGTTCAGTTCACAGACAAAAGCTCTCTCACAGCACTCGCATGCTGCTTTGGCAGCCATGGCTACAATACGAATTGGCAAATGTGTAGAGTAAATTTTATAGTTGATAGTTGATTAGTTATATTGTTGTATAACATCCTTTTTAATCTGGTCTTTTGTATATTTAAACAGGTTTAATGGTGTACAGAACTATTAGGCTTATTTTGGACTCTATCCATCATCTGGTATATAGACGATGGCTAGAGTCCAAAATAAACCTAATAGTTCTGTACAGCATACACCATTGTCAGAATCCTTTCAAGTCTATTAGGTTTAAAGGTCCACATATTATACTGTTGCATTAGAAATTCAGTGTGACACTGTGATCAGAGGTTACAACTGACTCATGGCTCTAATATATTATACAGTGCATGGGGTATTTGCTCGGAAAACAATTCCAAAGCGGACCCAGTTTGGGCCCATTGAGGGTGTACTGGTGAAGGCGGATGACCCACACATGATTGTGGCTGAGGGAGAAGAACCGCAGCTAGAGTTGCTGGTTGAATCAGAAACTGGAGCCATGCTGAAGCTTGACACAGGATGTGAAAGTAAGCAGTGTTGTGGTACAAGAGCTGTAACTGGTGCGTTATATTTTTATATCACTATAATGAAATTTGTTGTCTAAAATGAATTTATGTTGAAAATATGAAAGTTCAGAACTCTCTTAATCTCTGAAGTGTGTGTAACAGGATTGCATGTCCTTCAGAAATGCTATAATGAAATTAAAGTAAAGGTCAGCTCAAATAACTTATTGATTTGCCTCTGAAATTGAGATAGAAGGCTTGTTGAATGGATGGAAAACTTTTTCCAGCTCCCCTGCCAGCATTAGAAGAACGTTATACATTTTAAATAGAACTTGCTTCCCTTCTTTTCTCCCAATAAGAATTCTTATTAATCTCTTTATGAAGGTCATTGCATTAGCAGTTTGTGCAGTGATTCTCCTCAGAAAAACAAATAAAATATCTGCATGAACAACTTGTAGCTTGTAGTCAGTTTTGCTTTGCTTCCATCTCATTGTTTGGATGATATTAATTTATCAGACACCTGGAATTAAATACAGGTATAATTCACTTAGTGGGGGGTGGAGTCCAGCTGGGTCCACTCGGCACAGTGGCCACTGATTGGCCTCTTGTACCTGCCCTGGGTGATTATGATGATGGAGAATTTGGTGGAATGAAGATTGACAGGGGAAACCGAAGTGCTCGGAGAAAACCCGCCCCAGCACCACTTTGTCCACCACAAATCCCACTTGACCAGACCCGGGATTGAACCAAGACAGCCGCGGTGGGAAGCTAGCGACTTACCGCTTCAGCCATGGGGCAGCCAAAATACAGGTATAAAAATAGACGTAAAGGATTGTTTATTTCAAAAGGTATACCGGTACAGAGATGAGATCTTAATTTTGGAGCGAGAAACTACTGATTTTCCTTGACCACATATTTTGCAAGGGCTGACATTTCTTTGAACAGTGTTGTTGTTGTGACAGATTCATCAAATTGGATGCGGTTTGTACGAGCAGCAGAAAACTTCAAAGATCAGAACCTGATACTTAGTCAGCAGGGTCATTGTTTGTATTTCACGTCCACACGAGTAATCCACCCTCGTCAAGAACTCCAAGTGTGGTATAGCTTTCCATATGCCAATAAACGAGGATTACCCCTGCTTCAACCTGATGTAGAAAAAAGAGGTAAGGCACTCCAGTTTACACTTTTAAGCACGGTTTTATAGCCTGCATACATTGCAAACCGACATTACCAACATTCATCGTAGGTATGATTCTTGAGGTGTTCATAGTAATGAGAGTTTAAAATATAGACTTCTGCATTGTGACACACCATGTCATCTTGTAAACAGTTACCAACATTTCATAACAACCAGGTACTTCCATCTTCGTTCATTTCTTTTATGCTGAAAGTGAACACAGCCTGTTCCTGCAGAACAGTGAGAACCACCTGCAAGATGAGTGGTGTGCCACAAACCTGTAAGACTGCGTTTTAAAGTTATCTAAATGGCAGTCTCCTGTTTGGAGGCTGGTTAGAATAGACTTTGCTCTCTAAAAAAAAAAGTTGTTGTGAAATCCAAAGAAATTAAAACTTTATGGTGTAATTCAAGACAAATTTAGCAGAACCTTCTAAGGAAGGTTATGGCTAAAGAATAGCTGTTTTGCCAACAATGATGATGATGAAATGTCAGTAGTTAAATTTACCCATATTACTGCAACAAAAACTCCTTTCTTGGTAAAACAGTGAAGTAAACGGAGGAGACAGAACTGAGCAAAGCAGTATTGCGTAGAATAGAATAAGGAGAATTACATGAGGTGAGGTTTGAGGTTCTCATGGTGGTGAATGTGACGATGATGATGGTTTCTTTTGGGATGTGATGCCATGTGCTGTGGTAGGAAGGGAGTAAACTGCATAGAGTCACATTGCAGAAGACTCTGATCTTCAGAATAAGACTCGCTACTTGAGAATTTTTATGTAAGGAGCAGATCATAGAAAGATGGGTTGTTGCCTGTCTAAGTTTTGATTGTATGAAGCTTTAACTAATGGTCCAAACTGTGTCATCTGGATGAAAAATAATCAGTTAAGGTGAAGATTGCAAAAGAATCCTTGATATGCTATTCATTTGGCAAGAATAAGAAACGAAATAAACTATACAGTGGCTGGATTTGAGATTCTCACAGTGATGACTGCAAAGAGTACATTCTCCTGGATTGTAATGATGTGTAGATGGGAGGAAACCTGACATTTCAGAGGCACATCTCACATCTGACTTCAGGGTTTGAGAGTAGGCCAAGCAAGATACCAGCAGAAGCAAGTGGCAAGCTCACCTCAGCTGAACTTTCTGTCTACATCTCTTTTATTACTTGGTTTTGCTCTTCATCCCTGAAGACAGAGTAACTATGTTTATTTGAAGCATTGGTTAACTCCTGATAGCCACCATCATTCTGGTTGAAGTTCACATAACTGGTGTTGAAAAATTTGTTTTATTTTTAAAAACGTCACTTTATAATGTATCCGCATTTTGATATAATGTGAACAGTGAATGCCATTTGTGTTCTAGCTGTTGAAGAGGTGGAACATATGTGGCCGTGCTTTGAATGTAATGGAAAGTTTGCCAGTTCAGAAGAGCTGCAGAAACATTTAAATATCCATGATAATGAACGGGTGAGTTTGACACAATTTGTGTAAGTTTAAATGTTGAAAAACCCTCATAGATTTTATGTAAGCTACTGTACTTAAAATGTGGATTTACTTATATTGTTTTAATTTACAAATTCCTTCATTTAGGATGAAGATGGTGATTCACTGAAATCGAAATCTAAGAAATCTGGACGAACTTCACGGCGTAAGGGCCTGTCACATTTTGCATCCAAGAAATTTAAGTCAGACAGTGATAACCATAATGAGGTAATTACATTCTTCTGTGGTAGTTAATAATAATTTGTAAATTTTAAGCTTAATTAATGTTGGTGATTCTGATGTGTGATTTATTCTTAAATGATTAGTATCTGTAGTTATAATAATACACTTTGAGGTTAAGTTGTGCACCTCATCTTTTTTTAACAAGAAGTTGAGCTAATTTCTTCCTTCAGATAGATTATAGTGTAGTGTCAGTATTTATTTCTGATGTAGTGAATCATATCCTTGTTAATGGTTCTCACTAAGAAATCCCAAAAGTTCTTCAAGGTTACAAATTCATTCTCTCTCAAATATGTCATCAGATGGAAATCAGATTATTGTATCATGAGTCTCTTTGGTGTACACGTACATTACTTGCGTAGACGGTGTTTTTCATTTCCACTGTGTGTTTATGTCCAGTTTTTAGAGCAGATTTTCGTGTTTAGTCAATTCAAGAGAGAATGGATTGAGAAGGTACACATTAGGAGATGTTTAAAGCCTGGCTTTTATGCCTTGGTACTTTTGTACTCTACATATTACTTATAATTTTTTTAAGGGACCACAACGATTTTATGACATGTAAAAGTTTCTGAAACATGGTGGCTTTTCTGATTTACAGTTGTACCCTTACCAGTGTCATATTTGTCATCGAGCATTTCCACGCAATTATAGTTTGAAACGACACCAGCTTCTGCACGCTGGGGACAAGAAGTATGTGTGTGAAATCTGTGGATACGAGTTCTCCCATGTGCACAACAGAGACAGGTCAGTAAGCTGTCAGTGGCAAGAGTTGTATGATTGCAGTGTGCATTTTTTTATGCTACCAGATATTTATCAGTAAAAATAAAACAAATATTACATCTTGACTCATATTCAATTGATTGTTAATCTGTTTTATATTCTTAAAGCTTTGAATTAGAAGTAGACCCGTAATCATCATCATCACTGGCACGACAGCCCTTTGTGAGCCCTGGCCTTCCTCAGGATTGCTTGCCATTCTTCTCTATTCGATGCTACATTCCTCCGGTTCTTTACAAGGTGTGGCAATAAAGAACCCGGATTACTTTTATGACTCATTTCCGGCCACGTCATTGACGAAGAGGAGGGTAGGGCATTGACCCTTGGACTTCCCTCTACCGTCACACAAAGTTTCATTCACGTGCATCGGTTAGTCTGGCCGCGACCATTGTTAGAAGCGGATCGTGTTTCTGAGCTCCGTCGGAATAATGCTGAGTGCTAATGCAGAACAACGTGCTAACATCAAATTCCTCACAAAACTTGGAAAATCTGCCACTGAAACTTA